GGTTTAAAAAAAAAAAAAAAGAAGAGAGAAATTGAAGATGTGTCCTTATGAAAAAATCTCACTTCTTCAAATCCATCTGTTTTGGCAACCCTTTGGCACGTCTGTGGGCAGCATTGACCTTGTAATCCTAGACTACTGGGAAAAAGAATAGATATTCTGCTGGGTAGGATTAGACCCTGAAATGGAGATATCTGATACAAATCCCAGTTCAGCTCTGCCCTTCCAAACCTGGAGCTTCTGCTCCTGCAGGGTGTTCTCCTTTCCCAGCATGTCTGCAGGGCCACTGTCACCCCTGCTAGTGGGGAGGAGGGACGTGGGGCATCTTCTGTGCCCTTTCTGCCACACCTGGACCCTGTTGCCAAAAGCAGAATTGCTGCTGATCCAGAGGATGAGAGAAATTGGGGACCCAGAGATCTTCATCGTGGCTCGGGACGTGGGGGAATTGGGACCGGCAGAGAGGCTGGGGCAGCTGGGTGTGGGCTTTTGCTGGGATGGGAAGGGAAACGATCCTGGGAAGATGCGGCTCTCGCCTCTCCTGAGGCTGCGCTGTTGGTGGCACAGTTGTACCCAGATGGAACGTCAAAGCCGCCCAGCCCAGTGAGACCAGTACGTGTGTGGCCTCTGAGCTGGATTCAGCTGCTCCTCTAGCTAAGCCATGTAGACCTTGATGAATGTAGGGGTCACAAATTCTCTTCTAAGGCTCTAATCATGGGGCTCTCCTTGCTTACACCTTGCTGGATGGGTGCTTTGGTACCAAACCTGCAGGATTTGCGGGGTGATGGCTCTGCCAAGCACTTACCCGTGGCTGCTCTGCACTTTGGTTTCCTTGTCGTGTCAGGACTAATGCCCAGAGCTGGAAGAGCCTGCGAGAGGCTCAGCAGATGAGAGGAGCAGCCCAGGCTCCAGCTGAAATCTGCGGGGGGCACCCAGCCTTCCTGCCATCTGTTCCCCAGCTTGCAGATTGCACAGAGTCTGTCTCGTGGAAGATATTACAGAAATCTCTGGTAGATGCTTGGAGAGAGCTCCACAACGTGGGACAGAGACATCAGCAGACACCTGGCGTGTAACTGGGAAGCACCAGTGAGCCTTTGCCTGTATGTCAGGGGGAAAGGTGGGTGTTAGCAGGACTGTTCAGTGCCTCTTCCACCCTAGAAGCTGCTGGGGATGCTCTGTTGAGCATGGCTGGAGGCTCTCTTGGCAGAGAAGATGTGTGATGAGTCTGGGAGGTTCTGCCAACATGCTGCTGCCCAGCCTGAGACCTTCTCTGCAGGGCTGCATGCCCAGCGTTTCTCTGTTGGGAGTGTTTGAGTTCTGTAGGGATTGAAGATCTCATACAGGAGCTTGGGATGTCTGGATGCAGCCCTGGAAGCTCAGCTGTGTTTCCTTCCACCTTCCGTTACTTTAACGTGTTGTGCAAAGGTGCTGGCTGCAGAGCAGCCATTGCCTCCTGTGGCCGAGGAGCCACTGCGGGAGGGAGCAGAGAGGTGAGATCTCTGTTCCCTTTGCTGTAGCAGTGTTAGCCCCACGCTGGGTTGCTCCTGGGGGCCTGGACATCAGCCTCTCTCATTGGGAGTGGAGAAGGAATAAGGGAATGGTGTGCCTACTGCTCCTTGCTCTGGTTTTTCCTCTGTGGGCTGTTGCAGCAACCTTGCAAAGCAGAGAGGTGTCGAAGGCTAATCCAACTGCACCTTAGAAAGAATAAACCAGATTTATCCCTTCCTTTTCCGATCTCTACTCCAGGCTTTGCAACAGCTCAAGGCTGGATTTGTGCCATAGTCACAGAGCAGGGATGTTCCCTCTTTTCTTCCCTATCTCATGGATTGTGCTGTTTTACTGGCCCTTCCCCAGGCGCTGGCCTTATCTCCCCTTGAATCTGGTGAGTGTTTCTGCCTGGCTTCGCCCTGATGAATAACAGGCTGTTTTCTGCCTGGCTTCGCCCTGATGAATAACGGGCTGTCTGTCTGTCTGTCTGACTCTGCAGGATTGGGAGGTTCTAGTCCTGGAGAAGCTAAAGTGGGACCTGGTCTCAGTGATAGCAAATGATTTCTTGGCTCACATCCTCCATCACCTGCCGCTGCCGAAGGACAAGATGGAGCTGGTGAAGAAACACGCACAGACCTTTATCGCCCTGTGTGCCACAGGTGGGTGCCTGCTCCTGCCAGAGCCACCCCCAGGATGCTGGGGGGGTGGGATGGCTGCTGCAGATGGGGTGACCTGGGCTTGGGTCAGGTCTGCTGGGTAACCTGGGGCTGGTCTCCAAGGCTCTGGCTTTCTGGGGAGCTGAATGCCTGCCTTCATTCAAATCAGAGCATTTTGCTGCTCAGTGACATGTTTTCTGTCTCTGACAAAGTGGGATAACGGTCCTGGGGGCTCTTAGCGGGTGCCTGGAAGATGCCAGGAAAGAGCAGAGCCACTGTGCCACCCCTCTCGCTGCACAGGCTGCGGCTGCAGGAGGGCGTCAAGGGTGGAGGCAGGGTTGAATCTGAGTTTTTATCAGCCTCACGCTAAGTCACTAGAGCAATCTCATCTTCAGGACTTCTTTTGGTGAGACAGCCAGAGAAATATCTTAATGCAGCTTTCTGCTCTGGTGCTCGGCCTGTTTCCCATTACTGCATTTCCATTTCTCTCTGCTAAGCTGCAGAGACCCCTCTGTCTGGCCCTCTCTAGTTTTCCAGGGAATTTGCAGTCTCAGGAACTTACCCTGTGCATCCTTGCTAATGGCTCCTTTTTGTCCCCTGTGTCCCTGTGCTGTCTCTAGACTACACTTTCGCCATGTACCCCCCCTCCATGATCGCGACGGGCAGTATCGGAGCGGCGATCCACGGCCTGACGGTCTCCGTGAACGATTTCACCGGTGAGGCGATCACTGAGCTGCTGGCCAGCATCACTGGCACGGAGGTGGTGAGTGTTCACGGGGGGGAAGAGCAAAAGCGGTTTTGCTGCTGGATCTGGTGGAAACCCTTCCTCTATCTGCAGCTCAGGAGAGGAAATCAGACTGTTCATGAGGATGCCCACCTTGGTTTGAGGAGTGCCTAGAGATGAGCGAGCAGCTCTAAACGCAGCGCCCTTCTCAGTCCCGTGGCCGCAGTTGGCTCCTGGCCACTGTGCGCTGGCTGTGCGGAGCGGGGCGAGCTCGGGAGCCTTTGAAAAGCAGCACAAAGGGGAGCGTCTGTTCCCTGTGCGGGCAGGTGGTGGTGGGATCGGGTTGACAAGGTGGGATGGAGCAGAGGGAGAAGCTGGGCTTGGCATCTGCCAACCTCCACTGGTGTCTGGTTGCAGGTGCCCAGATTGGGCTGGGAAGGGGGTTGGGGGCACAAAGTGTTTCAGGACAGTGGCACTGTGGCTTTGCTGGGGACACTGGGATGTTGGGGGGCATCTGCCTGCCCCTCCGCTGCCCTTTGAAAGGGGAAGGCGGACCTGTTGGGCTCCCTGCTTCCACGTCGCTCCTGCTACAGGGAAGTCATCAGGAGCCTTTCTCCTGCCAGGGGCCCCTTTTGATCTTCTGCCCGAGCGCTAATGCCGGCAGCCGGGCGCAGGGTTAGTTACAGTCCCTTGACAGCAGCTCCGGGAATTGGAAGAGGTGCCGGTGCCGCGGCGGGTGGGAGGCTGCAATGAGGCTTTGTCCAGGTAGGGAGGGGACAGGGCAGGAGGGCGTCCTCATGTATTTGTGCGGCTTTAATTTTTTTCTTGTTGTTGTTTGCCAGAGCCTTTTTTAAAGAAAGAATCAGTGCAGCCAGCTGCTCTCAAGCTGCTGCGGTGAATGAGGCAGAGGCTGAAACCTGCTCTGGGTCGGGGCTGGTGGAGGAACAGGTGGGAAGCAGGGAGGGCACCAAGGGAGGGGAGCCGAAATGGAGCCCAGC